AGAGAAACCCTGTTGTCCAGTGGTGGGTTTCAAAAATTTTTTACTACCGGTTCTGTCGGTGTGGCTTGGTGGGCGTGACAGGGAAAAGATACTGTAAAAGAAGTATCTCAAATCCCACTCCACTCCTGGGGGAAGGTTACCACCAACCAGTTCTCCGAACTACTCAAAATTTCCGCTACCAGTTCTCCAGAACTGGTCAGAACCTGCTGAATACCACCTCTGCAGTTGTCTATGTAACTTGGTTTTGACATCAGCGCAAATGGCCAAACTGAGCTTCCAACCAGGATACTGGGTGTCAAAAATCCCAGGAGATGCTAGCTAGTGCCCAGCTTTGGAGAAGGCAGGTGTGACTGGCATGACCCAGGATGCAAGGCCAAGTCATAAGAGATCCCCTGAGGCTGTGCTAAGGCCAAGATCTTGCAAGGAATTCCCAGCATTGTAGTTCGAAATATTTGAAGGCCACCAGATTAGAGAAAATCATTCTAGTAGCATGGAAGAAGAAAGAAAATTATTGTCTTTTTGGGAAGTTATTAATTAGCTATTCATAGCTTTTTTTCCTTTGCTTTTTCTTATTTACTGTTTAGTATTTTAATTTTGTTAAACTTGTTTTGTCCACCTACTTTTTACTTTTAACAGGGTGTGTACATGTATGTATATACACACGCACATATATAACCAAGTTATAATAACAGTGGAGATTTCAATATCAAATAATTTAGTTTAAGACCAAAATCTGTATTATGAAACAAAAGCTCTTGATGTTTGTCACATTTCCTTTCATCTCTTCCTTTCTAATGCTATTTTTAAATTTGACTGGGGGGGGGGGAACCCCAAATAATTACAATGGTCATAACACTGATACCCTGAACTGTAATTAATATTGACTGAATATAAACTTTCTTCTTTATTTCTATTACTTCAAGGGAGTATTCTCAATTTTAGCAATTTGAAGATTTGTGGACTTCCAGCTCCCAGAATTCCCCAGCCAGCATGCTGTCAGAAAGATTTGCTTTCTTGCAGCTTAATTTAATTAATCCATGTTCTACATTCTGAGGTGATATAAAAAAGGACTATGATTGGTTCCATGGGTGACAGGCTGCCGTGTTAAAAACTACTACAGGTAGTGTCAGCCTTCAAGATTTTCTCCCTTTGTTTTTTTTTCACCCTTAACTATTACAGCATAAAGGACAAATATATATTTTAATTACCTCAGTGCCTGTTTGTTTTAGATTTTTAAAGGTTCTTCCCCCCTCCAAATTAAATAACAGAGATCCAAAAATAACCTTCACAGGTGAGTTCAAAGGAAGGGGCCATTATCCCAAAGTCAAGCAAACAAATGATGAAACCAAAATTCATTCTGAAAACTATATCACCATGACAAGTATTTAAAAAATCTACTAAATCTTCAGTGCCAGAGATATGTACTAGACCATAAAAAACATTTATGAGTCACAGTGGTGAAATTACAGCTCCCGTTTTAATTTAATGTGAGCAGTTTTAATAAGTGGAACACTCCGTTAATGCAAACTGATTTTTGTCTTCGCTCTGTATTTTTGTGTTAGATGGTGGTTTGGAAGCTAATATCACACACTTTAACTTGTACAATTAAAACAGCAATGACACAAGCAAACCTCTGACAGTCAACAATAATTATGAACCTCTATGAGAACAAAAAGAGTTTCTGCTTGACCATACAGAGGGTTTTTTTTTTCCTTTTTTCTTTCAGGACTTAACAGGGAGCATGTGCTGAGCAGTACGATTTTATGCCCTTGGCAAACAGGACACAGGCTATAAGGCTGGGGCTGACTCAACATTTCTGCATGAAGCAAGGGACACTGAAAGTTTCCCTCTCCCATTCAATACTTAAAAGATATTAGTGTACAGAGCTAGATTGTCCTTTAGCGTGGGAGGCTTGTTAAATCAGCAGATGGGCCGTCAGCCCTTCAAGGTAGGTCAAGTCAGGAAACAGATACCATAAGAATGACTGCAACTGTATTTTACTCTTAAGAGGGCAAAATAAGAGAATTTTGAAATCCTGACAGTTTCTCTCCCTTCTTCTTAGTTCAAAGACACTAATAGTGGGGCAATCTTGAGTTTCTTTCTCACCTGCTCAAACTGATGTTTGTCTCTTGTTGCATTCCTTCTTCAAGGTTATCTCCATACTCTTCTATACCAGGGGTCGGCAACCTTTTGGACCTCAGGGATCACCAAACTCATAATTTTAAATCCCAGGGACCACTAACCAGTTCTGTGGGTGTGGCCTAATTTGTGGGTGTGGCTTGGTGGTCATGTGACTGACTGGACATGGCTTGTATGTAAATAATATAAATATTTATATAAATATTGAATTTTTTTATATAAAAAGAGCAACTTTTACCCCAAAGCAGGCAAAGCAGGCAGGTAGATTGAGTTGCTCACAGAATCATTCAATGATCTATCTATCTGCCATTGGCTAGCTCAGTCTCTCAAATTTGCTTGTGGTAAGTCTGCACATAGAACCTTCAGTCCTAAGGGAGGTTCGGCTGTGCTTAAAAGCAGAGTCGAAGATCTAAAGACTAGCTAGGAAAGTAAGAAATCCAACCATTTCCTGCTTCCTAGCTAATCTAAATCTCCCGGTACAGCAGAACAGATGATGGTCAGAAAAAGGAAAAATAGCAATTTAGTAGGCAAGTTTGCTGGGTAAGGAGTGAGTGCGCAGGGAGGGTTCCTGTGGGCCATGTGGGTGGCACAGCCTTATGTTTCTGCGCAGCCTGGATTAATTGCTTTGGGGGGGTTGCTCTGGGGGTGACATTTCTCTGTGGCCCACTAAAATTTTCTCACGGCCCACCAGTGGGCCGCAGCCCACCAGTTGGCAACTGCTGTTCTACACTAGCACAGAGATGCAGAGTAGCTCTCTCGCTCTCTCTTCCAGTACTTATCTACTGCATCTTAACACTTGCTAACAAATGGTGAGGAACCATACCTTATGATTTTTGACAAATGTATCTTTTATTTTTATATACACTGAGAGCATATGCACCAAGACAAATTCCTCGTGTGTCTAATCACACTTGGCCAATAAAGAATTCATTCATTCATTCATACAGCAACAACAATAAGCCAAATGAAATCTGCACATCTGACAAATTGAAGAAGAGATATTCAGAAATTCCTAGTGGAAATATAAGGAATTCTGTTTCCTGGGGCTATCCAATTCAGATAATGCAAATGTAACATTTGGAGAGACAAGGCCTAATAGCAAAGGAACATAGAAAACCTCTTTTCTAGACATCATTAAGGTCACCTCCAGGTGGCCTCAACAACTCTCTAAAAGGATGCAAATAACCAGCTATCTGCAAGGAGTATAAATCCTTCCATTCCCCACCATCCAGTTAGAGCTGAAGAAGCTTTTCGGATGAGAAGTGAAACATCTTCAAAGAAAAACCAGAAAGTCCAGTTGCCTCTTGAAAAAGAAAAGCATCTTTGGGTCTTTCCTAGAAGATACAGTATAATGTAGGGGAAGCTGGCACTCAAATGATATCTTTGGTTGTGTTGGAAGAAATACCAACTTGGTTCAGTTTCAAGCCGGAAGAAAGGCTCTGGAGACAAAATGGAGGTTGGAGGCTGATTGGAAAGAGGGTCCATTTAATTGATGAAGCAGAACCACCAGGCATGTGTGATTCTGGGCAGTTGACCACATGGAGTTGAGTGGGGTCTTTTTTATATCTTCTTTGATCTTGGTACTTGAGCTTCCTATTCCTGTGCAAGAACATGTATTCTATTGGCTGTTGTAGGGTTATGTAGGGGTCATAGGTTGTCTGAGCTCCCAAATTTGGTTCCACTTTGGACTGCTGAAATTATGTAATGAAGAGGCTTGTGTTTTAAAAGGGTGTTGGGCAATTCCTATTTTGGCTTAATGGCTTTGTCCTGGTTTTGATCCTGAGTGAGAGCTAATTCTATCACTCTGCCTTTGTTCAGACTTTGCTGCAGGGAGTAACGGATTACCAAATCTGCATTTCAAAAAGCTCTCCCAGCTCAGTAACTGCTTGGGGGCAGGGAGCTGGGGTTCTGAGTTTCTGTCTTCCTTAATATTTTTTTATTTCTCTTTTAGGGGGGATATTTTACCCTGCCTTTAAAAAAGATATTCCTCCAAATATTTCATTCCTGGGGGGGGGGGGGGGTTGGTAGCTTCCCACAGTTGCCTTCATAACAAGAACGGCATCTCCAAATTAAGATGGAGTGGCTGATAATTTTGGGGAAAGATGAGGGATCCCTGCTTTGCCTACGTCACAAGATTACGGTGAGGCCAAAACAGTAATGGGAAAAATATTTATGCTAGATTGTGCTTCTGAAATTATGGATGGGATTAAATTGAAAGAGTCATCTATAATTGTTTCTTCTATGGTGAAAACCATTTTTATCCAGCAGCAGGGCTATACTGAGAGAAATGCTATCCATTTTCTCTTACAGATTTATTAACTGCAGTTGTTGCTTTGAGCGCGTTTGTGTTGGAAATGTCTAAACTTAAGCTTTAAGATTTGTGGACTTCAACTCCCAGAATTCCTCCTCCAGTCATGTTAGCGCAGGAATTCTGGGAGTTGAAGTCCACAAGTCTTACACTTGCCAAGTTTAAAAACCCTTGGTCGAACATCACAATTTGAAATCAGCCTCTTTCCAGAGGGAAGTTCCCAAAACGAGAAACGCGCTGTACTCGGGGTGTTCAATATACGCCACTGCAAAATATAAGTGCAACTGCGATATCTTTCCGTGGTCGTCCCGACTTTCAGAAGCTCATCCAACTGTAAAGTGAGACCAACCTCTCCTTAGATTAGATCGACCAGAGCCGCAGGGCTAGACACCCCGCACATCTGACTTGGTTCTTCTGAGCCGCGGGAGGAAACACCTCAGCGGAGGGTTGGAAGACTTCGGCCTACAGCCGCCAGGTCCTCCGAGGCTCTTCTTTCCAGCAGGGGTCGCTGTCGCCTCCGACAAAAAGGTGGCTCCGCCTCCGCCGCTGCTCTTTGATCCCTGCGGAAAAGGGGAGAAGGACGGGCACAGAGCGGGGTCCCGCGGCAGGGTTTGGGTTGGAAGCGCCGGGCGCAGGGAGGTAATGTGGCAGGCTGGGTCATAGAGCGGGCAGACAGGCAGGCGGGCGCTGCTCGGCCCCGGGCGAAGAACCAGCGCTTTCCGGTTGGTTCCGTCTGTCTTTTCGGCGAAAGGAGGCCGGAATCGGACGTGGGTCCGCTAGGCAACCGGGCAGAAGGCGGGGGTTACACACGCGGCGCAGGATCTGATCTGCTGCGGGAAGTTTTACAGTCGGGATTGCAGCGCGGTTTTTAACCGTATTTACGGTAGGATTCCGTTGCATTCGACCTTGACGCCTGTCAATGCCCTCTGCGAAGTTTGCACACACACACCCCGCTACCTTATCCAACACCATGGGGCGTTTTACCTCTGTGGCATTTGTGCTTGGATCCTTTGTAAGATCAGGGGATGAGAAAAACGAGGAGTGCGGCTGTGACGGCTATTACCTCGTCTGCCATTCCAGTTAATACCATGGATGCTTGAGATGGTCTGGTCTCTTGTACTTGGCCCCTTGTTATAGGTGTTCTGTGTTATGCAGGTCATATTGTGTGAGACCGTTAACAAGTAAATTCAGTCGGTATAGTATTGCATTCATTTAAGGTTTATTGCACAAATTGCACACTGCCCTGAGGGTTGAATGACTACTTTTTTACTGCTTGTAGAGAATTCCACGGAAGCGCTGATGTTTACAAGTTGTAAAGTTGCCAAGTTTGGAGACCTCTGGCATAAAGTTACAAAGCTGAAAACTAAATGGACTTGCTTCTACTAAGAGACCTACTTTTGATCTTTGTGACCATCTTGGCTTATTTGCAATAACAAAAAGGGATTGATTAGATAGAGTGTAGAGCTTTACCTTCCTTTGATGAATTGATACCCCTAATTTTAAAGGTGGTCCTTGTCTGTCCATTTCTGAAGATGCACCCTCTGGACCTAGGAGATTACTATTATTACTATTACTACAATCGTAATATTTCTGTTTGGGGCAAAGGGCTGGAGAAGGTAATATTTGTACAGTTCAGATCTTCGTGGAGAACACTAATTTTGTTCCCTTGGGACAGAACGAGTTTTGGTCTTGGAAAATAGAACATGTCACTGTGCTTTTATACATTCTGTGGGTGCCATAGAAGGCTAATTTTCCTCAATGCTATTTAACATATATATGATCATCAAGGTGTTTGGATGTGAAATGTCATCAGATGTTAAAGACATGCAAATTGCTTCTTCATGATCTAAAGAGAAAACAGACAAATTTAGAATGACTATTTAGATCAGGGCTGTCAAACTTGTGGCCTGCACTGGCCATGCCCACACCTGGTTTAGCGAAGGGGGGGAAAGACATGATACGTTACGATGCCATGACAACGTGAGTTTACACCCCTGATCTAGATTCTGTTTGGGATGGATAGGACCCAGTAAATTGAAGTGGAATTCTCTCATGACAGCTCATAGATTTCCAGGTGGGGAAATTAGTGAATCTGCCTTGGAGTGGAATTCGATTCCACTTCTTCAGATTTTTATTGTTTTGGCCAGGGTGTGGACTCAAGAGCTTGAATAGTTTCAGATGTTCCTGGAATAGTAATTAATACTAGAGGACCAAGTGACCTTTCAAGGAACACCTACCCAAATCTCTTGTTGCACTGGCTGTAATCTTTCCTGCATATGGAAACCTAGCTATTGTTCTTACTCTGGTAGCCTCATATTTAGATAAGCGGGGGATCTGGCTATGCACACATTGCATCTTTATTGAAGCAACTGACTGGCTACCAATTAACTACCAAACTAAGTTCATGATCTTGTGTTTGACAAAGAGTGCCCTTGAAAACTAGGAAACAGGATACCTAACAGTCTGCTTTTGCCTCTATAGGGCAGGTTGGTTGCTAAGGTGATCAGAGGAAGTCTTGTTGGGCATCCAGTTCTACAGTTGACGTATTGTTATTTTGCTGTTATTCATAGGTGGGCATTCTTTGAGGTGAAAGCCTTGGGATTTTTTTTTCACCAATGTCTAATCTTTTGCACTGCTTTAGTTTATTAAATTTTACAATTTAAATTATTAATTGATTGTAAACTGCTTTAGATTACTTGCCCAAGAAGAAATAAATAAATATTAAATAAATAATGTATAGGTTTAGCTTTCTTTTTTAAGAAAGTTTGAACTGTCAAAGCAGGATGTCACACTGCAGGTCTATGCTTCATTTCTAAATCTAACCCTCTTGAGAAAATAATGAAGATTTCATTGGGGTCTTCATTCCCAACCCACTTTTCAAAATATGGTTCATTACAGTAGACTCAAAACAATTTTTATTAGTCATAGACCAGCATAACAGTAGATTCATAGATAAAGTAATAGATTTCTCCCACTAGTCTTCAATGTCTTGTTTATAGATAGTGTTTATGTGTGTTAGTATCAGGGCAGAGCCTGAAAGGGATAATTATTTGCTGGTAAGTTAATGTAAACCATTGAATGTATTACTGTGAATACAGTAATACAGAACTTTGGCAGATGATTTTGTGAGCATTGTAGATTTTTATCACATCAGTGGTACCTGTTGGTATTATATTGTCTAACCCTACCTAGGACAGCGAAAGAATACTAGCCAGATATCTTTAACTACTTGGATTGTGGGTAGATGATTTTTATATGTAAGATTATAACTGAGTCCCTGGCATTTTTTTAAAAATCACATCACAAGCTACCCATTTGTATTCAGAAATAAATTGAATTAATTCCGTGCAACATATTATTTAATAGGTTTAATGTTGCTTTAGAATATGTAGGAAGTTGCATCATTTCTCTTGGAAGATTTCTAACTTGCAATGCCCTAACTGTTTAATCCTTTGTTCCAGGGTATGCTATGACAGGGTATAAATTACTTCTTGACTCTTTGAGAAATCTAAATGTCTGCCTTGGACTCCTGGTCAAATCTCCTCACAAACTCAGCTCTCCCTGGAGGACCTTTCTTTGCGCTGCAAGCCAATATCCCAGAACAGCAATTCTCTCCAAACATTTCTGTGTTTCTCCCATTCAGCATCATGTATTTTTAATACCATGGTCAAAAAGTGTCACAGGGATTTCAGTCCGACACAAAAGTAACAAAAGCTCACATAAAAATGTGAAACGAACTGTGGAAGAAGACTTGGAGGAGGAAGACACTGATGAAGAGATAACTGATTCAGAAGATGAGTTTGAAGATGATCCCAGCATAGTGAAGAATTATAAAGACCTTGAAAAAGTAGTACAGTCTTTCCGATTCGATGTAATCTTGAAATCTGGTTTAGACATTGCAAGAAAGTAAGTCTAAAAGTTTAAAACAACTTGTAAGTAAAGGGATTAGAAGATATAGCTAATGATATTTTGTTTAATGTTGCTAAGAGCAAGCTAGTTAATGGGTTCCCTCTTAGGGAGACTATTAATATACTTTTTTGGTTTTGCCAATACTAGTAGGTTGAAATAGTATTCTTCATCAACCTTTCCCAGTCCGGTGCTGATTGTAATAGCATCTGGAAAGCATTAAGTTGGGGAAGGTAATTTAAAATGACTTTTGTAGCTTGTGATTAAAATCCCTATGAAAACAGACTGGTCAGTTAAATACTGTAAATTCGGCTATAAAGAAATAATGTGAACTATTAATATCAGCTGATGGTCATTAAAACAAACAAAATAACTTCTAATGAGACTATTTTTCCAACTTAACTTGCAGTCTCTTGGCTATTCCTCTAATTAAAGCTTCCAGACACTATGATATGCATGCATGTTTCTTGCTTAGATTTTATCATTTGTTTCAGGATTTGGTGTATTTAATATACATAGTAAAAAACTTTGAATGAACAGCAGAAAAATTAGGCATGTGTTACCAACTATTGTTATTTTATTTGCAGAAGGTAACAAAACAGATTTAAGTAGAAATTGTTCCTGATTTTTGATCACAGACCAACAGTTTCTGAACGGATTTACTACAAATATTCAATTAATCACATAATAAGAAGATTGGCATTTTGACCTGAAAGCTGTTTATTTTAAATGTATATTTAACTTATTTGAATGACACATTTTATAACTGGGTTCTCTAAAAAGCTCAAGGAAATCTGAATGAGCTTAATAGGATTGCTTCACCAAAAATATGCATAGGGTTGCAGCTTTATTAAGGTTTAAGAAATGCAACATTGATTTTCCTTCTGTAAAAGCTTACGGTGTGTGGAAGTCCATACAAAGTGAATCAATTGCACTAGAGCGGGAAATGCTGAAATGAAACATTGTTATCATTTATGTTAATTGACATGATCCAGCGCAGTGTTTTTCAACCTTGGCAACTTTAAGATGTATGGACTTCAATTCCCAGAATTTCCCAGCCAGCGTTGCTGTTTGGGGAATTTTGGGAGTTGAAGTCCTCACTTCTTAAAGTCGCCACAGTTGAAAAGCACTGATGCAGCTAAGCTATCTATATACCTACGGTGCAGTGGTAGAAAAGATTATTCTTAGTATTTATTTTTGTAAAAAAAAATAGAAAGAATATTAAATATAAAAAATAAGGTTCTTTTTGTTTTAAAGCAAAGTGGAAGATGCATTCTACAATGGTGAGCTTAGACTAAATGGAGAAAAATTGTGGAAGAAAAGCAGATCGGTAAGACTTTTTGAAATTCACGGTATAACCTAAATCAGAGGTGTCAAACTCGATTTCGCTGAGGGCCGCATCAGGGCTGTGTTAGACCTCAGGGGGCTGGGGTAGACGTGGCTATGGTGGGTATGGCCTTGGTGGGTGTTTGACACAGGCTAAAGATGTATGTTTTCCCTTCTTTCTTTTCACAGTTCTTTATTATACCATTTTCCTATCTCTTCTACCAGATATTACTAACAAACATTACTTATTCTTCAAACTCCACTAAAATTTTTATTTCTAAATTTATACCCCATTGTTTAATAGTAAATAGCTTTTCCAGGCAGAAAAGCTATTTATACCATTGTATTTTTATTATTCAACTAATAATAAAAATACAATAGCATAAATACATAATACAAGATCTAACAGCTGAAGTAAATTTTCAGGATTGTAAATAGAAATGATTGTCAGTTAGAGATTGTTGATTGTAAATTAAATGGAGCTACAGTATGTAAAATCTGGCATTAAACGGGGATATTAACATAGGATGTTGCTTGTTTTCTATCCAGATCAGGCACTTACTTGAGGCCTCTTGCAGCACTCTGCCAACTAAAAACAGGCTGCTTGGAGGCTCTGCGTGGCCTCCACGCAGCCCGTTTCTGGCCTCCCTGGCCTCTTGCAGCAGTCTGCCGGCTGAAAACGGCCCACGTTTTGATTTGATTTGAATCTTATGGGGAAATGATTAAGTTTACATTACAGTAGAGATGCTGTTCGATTCTTAGAGTAAGAGTTCTGTTATTTTGGACATTAGTAAAGGAATTCTGGCAATGGGGAAAGAGAAATGATTCAGTGCCACATCCTACTAATCTTACACTGCCATCCATTCTTCCCATGATCTGGAACTGTGTTGGGGAAATAGGCTGATTTGACCCATCACCTTTTTACAGGCAAGGTAACAGACACACATCATGTTGCTGTACATCATGTGGACTTTTGCTTGGTTCTATGAATCCAGCTGTTGTGGCTTGAAAACTATGGAACAGAACGCAATGGGAATAGTAAAATAGAATCATGGGGTGGGACTTTGGAGGTCTTCAAGTCCAACCCACCTCTCAAGACAGAAGACCTTAACATATCATGATTGTCTTTTTCTTAAAAAAACCTCCAGCAATGGAGCACGCGCAACTCCGGGAGGCAAGTTGTTTAGTTGATTAATTGTTCTTACTGTCAGGAAATGTCTTTGTTCCAGGTTGGATCTCTCTTCGCAAAGCTTCCAGCGATTGCTTCTTGTCCTGCCCTCAGGTGCTTTGGAGCAGGGCTCTCCAACTTTGGCAACTTTAAGACTTGTGGACCAACTCCCAGAATTCCTCAGCCAAAGAACGTGGCCTGAGGAATTCTGGGAGCTGGAAGTCCACAAGTCTTAAAGTTGCCAAGGTTGGAGACCCCTGCTTTGGAGAATAAGCCAAGCCCCTGCAATACTGGAAGACAGCTATCATGTCATCCCTAAGCCTTTTGTTAGGCTAAACATACCTAGTTTCCTGAACTGTTCATTGTAGAATTTAGTCTCCAAATCCCTTTTTGTTGCTGTGCTCTTTCTAGAGTCAAAGTATCTTTTTTGCATCTTAGTGATCAAAGTTGGATATAGTATTCCAAGTGTGGATTCACAGGTGCAGTATATGGTTTATGGTGTCATGTCATATTACTGCTGTAGTTTCTTTATTGTGGCTCTTAAATTTCATGGACTAGAAATGTCTGATAAAAGGTTTACAATAACTTTTTCCTATACTTGCATACATTCTTAAGGCACCACAACATCCTCGAATCATGGAATTTAAGCCACAGAAAAGCAGACCTATTAAACAGCCATCTTGGCAGCTTTCCCCCAAGCTTCAAAATGGTGGGAATGAAAGCACTCAAATCTGTCAGGCAAGTTATTCAGTCACTCAAGGAAAAAAAAGATTATTTTTTTTCTCCTTCCCCCCTTCTTCAGGTAAAGGTTGGTGATACCCTGGATCTCATTCTTGGAGAAGACAAAGAAACAGAAACAGCCGTAGTTATGCGAGTTGTTTTAAAGAAAGCATCTGAGAAGAATGAGAATGATAAATACAAAGTGATGTTGAGACGCTGGAAGAACTTAAAGGTGCCCAAGCAGGATGTATTGAAGTGAATAAATGAATTGCATGTTGTGATTGATTTGTTGTGAGCAATCACATTTATTGTATAATATATAATTTTTTGTTAAACAAAGTTTTTTTAAAAAAAGATTATTTGATGGCATGCCTCTTTCCTTACTATAAACATTACTTCTGTTCCATGACTTTCACTTGCTGTATGCTATAAATAAATAAATAAATAAATAAATAAATAAAAGGAAACTCTTGGCTTTTACTTAACTACATGACCTAGAAGCTCAAATGCTAATTTTAAGGGGAAAAATTTCTTTTAGAATATTTTTGTCACTTGCAATATCACTAGCTATTTACAGATAGATTAGTAGTATATTTCCATTTCCAGGAATGAAAACTGATATAAGTAATTTCTGTTTGCTTTCCTCTGTATTCAGAGGTGGCAGTGTGGAATGTAGCTAAATCTGCTGGCCACTGTATTTTCACTTGTATAAAGCGGAGTCCCTTCATGCATAAGATGGTTATAAAAATAGAGGTACTGTTACAGTTCAATCATGTGTATCAGGAAAACAAATGTGCTACTTGATTGGATAACTGAGATTGCCATGTATTTTCTCACTTGAAAACCAGTGAACTCTAAAACAGAAATAGATGGGAGTTACTGTTTATGTCACTGTGCGGTGCAGCTCTGCATATTCAATCTTCCATGGACATGTGATCTTATGGCAACTCAGGTGCTCGTTAGAATAGACATTGAGGCCCTGTAACAAAATCCATGTCTGATTTTAATTTAGCTCACTGGCTGCAAAGTACATTTCTTCTCTTTAGTGAACGTACCTTTAAAAAAAATCACGCTACTTCTTATTCAGCTGATGGAACACTTTGGTTGGATTTCATGCTTATTATGGCCCACCTATTAGGAAGATAACAGAGACTTTGCATACCTAAATTATGAGGGCATATCAACTAGTTAGGGAAATGCTAAGAAACCTAAGAGAAAATGTGTGAATTAAAAACCTGTTACCATATCAAAATTAAATTCTGTTAATTGTAGTTCAGTAAATTTCATGTAAGAAACTGTATAAATGCATTTTGTCTTCAAGGATATGCTGATCATTGGAAGCTAAAATGTTTCCAAAATGATACTGGACACAGAAATAATTTTGTGTTGCAGTTTCATTGGTATCTATTTTAACAATAAGATAACAAAAGCACTTTTTATTTTATTGCAGTAATATGTGAGAGGGAAGGAATTACAGGAAGATTGAAAACAACCCTGACAGGAAAAGAAATCAAAATTAAGTACAGAAGTACACAATAAAGAAATGATGCTTTGTTTGAAATTCAGAAAACAATACATGTCCTGAAGATTCTGCCACAGCCTTTCAGCTCTTTTCATAGTTCAGTAGAACCGAAAACCTGATATGTGATTTTTGTCATGTTCAGATGAGCAACAAAAACTATTTCTAAATTGAGGGATATAAAATTAATGCCTTTATATAAATGTATAAGTTTTACTTCAGATTAACATTTATTGACTTATTATAAATCAGAAAATATCTTCTTCTTTACTCTCTAAGAATGGTACATTCAGCTAACAAATATAGCATGTTAGGAAAGCTATTTGAGAGAAAAAGCTGAAACCACCCCCCCTGGCCTTGAGACCAGGAAAAAGTAGTGTAGTACTGCCACATCAAACTCAGCTGGAATTCTCAGGGTCCAGTTCAGTATAGAAGAAACCTTCATAAGACAGTTGAGAAACAAAGTAAAAGATGCAGAGTTACATCATACTTGTTTTTCTTTAAGCCAGTGTGAATTTTAAAGCCAACGCATAAGACTTAAAGTGGAGAGAAATTTGATAGAAAATTAGGAAAGGAAATGTTCTAATCAATCCATTTCTGTCCTCACAATTCCATTTACTCCTTTATTTTTAATTCAGTAAAAATCCATTATTTTCGGAACAGAAAAAAACATTTTTCTAAAGTGACATGTGATACATATTAAGATCCAAGTAACATGTTATAAAAATGGATAAATAGACGTGTCACACACAGTAATTGTATCAACACCTCACTACCACAACAAACTGGATTGTGCAGCAGTTTCAACTAGAAGGCAAAACGGTGCTTCAGAGTGTGCAGCTACAAGTAGCTCTGCTGGCAAATACTTCAAAAATGATGCCTTTTACTGGAATGGCATACAGCTGTCCTATCCTGTTGCATGATCCTAGGAAAACAAATTGTGGTTTAGGGAATTGCAGGCATGTGCTCTAGCTTGTGTGCTCTAAAGCATTTTTCTGCTTTCAGACTAAAATCCCAAAGGTGCTTTTTCAATAGGCAACTGGACACTCTTGTTTTTTCTTTGAAGATGTTTCGTTTCTCATGCAAGAAGCTTCTTCAGCTCTGACTGGATGGTGGGAAATGGAAGAATTTATATTCCTTGCAGACAGCTAGACATTTGCATCCTTTTAGAGAGTTGTTGATGCCACCTGGAGTCTGAAGAGTCACCTGAATAGTGCAAATGGGTGTGGAGCAAAGGTGTCAAACTGGTGGCCCCATTGGCCAGATGTGTCACAGGCAGGCCACACCCATCCCAGCTCTGTGAATGGGGGAAATGTGGTGAAATGTCACGTGATGGCAACATGACACAGTGAGTTTGACACCTGTGGTATGGCGCCTTGGAACTGCTGAAAGGACTGTAGTGTAGACTGAGCCCTCCCCCTTTTTGACAAAGGGCTCTTAAAGAGGGGTCGGAGGCCTTCAATGTCAAAATTGAACAGCCCTCCCTCAAGAGAGGGGAAGGGATACATCATGTATCTCCAGTCTTCAACACAGTCTTTCAGCAGTTCCAAGACAGCTCCACACCAATTTGCACTACTCAAGTGATCCTGAGGACACAGACAAAACTCCAATAGGGCTATATATGTTTGCATATGTGTTATCTATATAATTTGCCAACTGGAACAAGTGTCATATTAGAAATGATTGAAAGTAAATGACATCATCCTTAGCATTGAGTAAGCATTTTATCATACGAGCGTGTGTGTACACACTGATCATTATATATGCAATTTACACTATTCAGGGGAACAGCAAACCCACAGGCAAGGATCAGTTTCTTTTTCTAAACAAATTTATGAGCATTTCAGGAAAAAAAAATCAGTGGGTTGTATCTGGAAGTTTTGTAAAAATCCATGAAACAAGTTACTGGAACTTGCTAGTCATGACTAATTTCACTGGAACTGAAATACTGTTACCTTTGTTTGGCTTTAATCCAACCCAGCACATACAAGGAAATGTCAGTTTGGGGAGTATGATTTTATTTTGTTAATTTCATGACTTGCAGTAAAAGAAAAAATAACACAATGTAACACATTGTGACACAATACTCTTCAGGAAAAACAAAAAATGTTTTAACGTTTACTGAACATATTTAGTGGAACTATATAATCAATGTTTTTGATCAACTAAACAATGATTAAAGAAAAGTTTATGATCTTTGTGATAATGAAATTATTTAGGTGTCACTGTATTTGAAGATACTAATCAACATATGATAGAGCTTAGTATATAATTCAAATAAAAATATAGATAGTATATTTAATATTTTCAACAGTTTAAAAGCTGCAGTAATTTAACTGATAAAAATATGGACTTAAGCGTTTTGCACATTCCTCAATTCAAGTATTTTTTTTGAAGTAGTGAGTATAACAGGTAATAGCACCACTTTTACTGATACAGAGTAGGATTCTATATTTCACAATCTCCACGCATACCAGTAGTTCTTTTATCAAGATTATACAGAAAACAATAAAATAATTTATATGAATAAAAAAGAAAATCAATACTACAATCTTAACATAAACACTCATTAAATAATCCCATGATTATAATTTTAATTTTTACACCAAATCAACTAAAAAAAGATTTTTTTAAAAAAAATAACTTGATTTTGTAATTTTTCCTTTGCTAATATTCACACTTGATATAAGGAGTATCCATAAGCATAGAAACTGTTGTGATTTTCCATTCTTTTCAAAGAGGTGTAACATTTTAAAATTGGAAATTTCAAATATTTAAAAATTGATTAATTTCCAAATGATAGATTAAAGGTCCCTATTGAAAACTGTCTTAAAGAAATTAATTACTATTTAAAATTAATTAAAAATTAAACATTATCTAATATATTTCCACTGATGAATATTATATTTAGATGACATATTGTTAGATCAGCTTTAATAATTTGTGGTTCTTTGTGATCCAGTTTAGGCGGTAACTGAAAAAAACAGCAAGAAATCTAAGCTACATAAAGGCATACTAAAATGGAGTTATAAAATATCTTTTTCCGCCATATGCATTTGTTTCAGTAGGGCTTTTAAGAGAGACTCTCGCTGGATTATAAATTCTGACTTCTTACCCATTCCTGTATGTGCAAACATATATGAAGAAAAGATGTATTAATCAGTCGTCCTAGTGCTAAACCAGTTGACCGCTCAAGCTACTTCAAAATAACTGAAATCACCATCTTTGGAAACTTAAAATATCACTTTTTTGCTTTCTTGGCTTTTTTCAATATGTCACATTTTTTTCTATTTGGACGTCTGCATCTTTCATCAATGCTTGGTATACATTCATAATGCCAAACTTCATCCATCTTTTCAACGGGATAAACAGCTTCAACATAATGGCGGATGAGTCTCAGTCTGACAGGATCAAGCTGCTTCTTGTTACAAGCCCCTGAATGGTTGTATTGCAGTCTGAGGTTATCTGAAGTAAAAAGCTCTGGGAAAAGTCTTACTAAGAGTCTGGCAGCAAAGTTGCCAACCGAAAGACTTTGTTGTACTATCTCTCTTACCTCTTTATCAGACAGCAAATATAGAGAAGGCACAGAAAAGTCTGGTGGAGGAACAATAAGTTCCTCAAGTGGTATCTTGCAAAAATCTTTGTTGCTTCTTTCGGGAGGCAATGGTGGCCCTTCAAATTCCTCTTTAAATCGTTCTGGGTTTATTGCATAGGTCAGGAATTCTCTCCTCTCAGGACCTGGTACATGGACTTTTCGCTGTAATTGGTATGTGCGTCTCTGTTCGGTATCTCTTCGACGACATCTTTCATCCAGTTTCCCAACAAATTCCAGTGTCCATACTCTATCATTCTTAGCTCTTGGATACAGCATTTGCACGTAGTGTCGAATCAATTTAATTCTAATAGGATCAAGTTGTTTTTTGCCTAGTGAGCCACTGCAATTGTATTGCTTCCTTAAGTTTTCAGGAGTAAACAATTCAGGAAACAAGTGAACTAGCAATCGAGAAGCAAAATTACCTATAGACAAGCTACTTTCATATATGTTCTTAAGCTGCTCCTTACTTAACAGATAATCTGAGACAGGAACATCAAAATCAGGGGAAGGGATATCAAGTTTATCAAAGTCTATGGGCACAAGCCAAATCTTTTTTGATCTTCTACCTGGTCTTTCATATTCAAAATTATCTTCTACTTTTATAACTGACACATCATCAGGCAAACTTGAAGAATCATAGCAATCATCTCTTATCTGTTCATTCTCACTGTCATCCATATACATGCTTTCAAGTTCATCATTTATTCGCTGAACACAATGCTGTAACCAAGCCTTTCTCTCCTGCATAGCAGGAAAGTAAATCTCTGTATATCTGCGAATTACCTGAAGTCGCTGAGGATCAAGTTCTTGTTTTCCACACTCTCCATAACAGCTGTATCTTTCAGCCAATTTTCTATGATCAAAGAGTTCTGGAAACAATCTGTGTAGCAAAAATACACAAAATTCTCCAGGAGAAGATGCTTCATCTAAAAATTCATTTATATCCTGAGCATCAAACACCCATTCTGAGGCAACAGAAGTATTTCTATCAATAGATAGAACATCATCATCATCATCCTTATCATTAATATGATCAGACTCATAAAAACTGGAGGATTGTAGATCTGGTTGACTATTTTCCATATCTCTCTGAGCCCAAAAACTATTGAAAAAGTCATTGACCTGAGGCAAACATTCTGCTTGCCAAACAGCAGGATTTTTCACAGATGGATAACAGACTTCCACATAATTTCGGATGAGCTGCAGATGAAGTGATTCAAGTTTCTTTTTATTAAAATAACCACATGTGGTGCAGGCCTTACTTAATTCATCCTCACTAAAGAGTTCTGGAAAAAGTTGTACAAGTAATCGGCAAGCCAGATCACCACCTGATGTACTTTGATCCATAATCTGTTTGAGTTCTGAGGCAGTCAGTTGATACTCAGGAGGGGGCTTGAATTCTGCAACAGCATCTATTGGGCTGACATGTTTCTTAATTCTACCGACTTCTAATGACAGCAGATCTACTTTGCTATGCAGTTGAGTCATGTTAGAATTTAATGTATTCAGTGTATAAAACATTTTTTGTATTAAAGAATAGATATTTGAATCAGATTCGGCAGTAATATTGCTTGTTTCTCTTTTCCGCTGCTCATTCAAAGTCCTAAGATTGGAGGGACTGCTAGGATTAATCTTTTCAAATAACTCAAAGGTAGTAAACTGTTCTGTTCCTGGCAAAGTCTTCTTCTCTGTAATTTTGTGAGAGATCCCATAAAGAGGTTTCTTGTATGAAGGCATAACTGTGCTATTCAAAGTTTCTTCACAAATCCACGTTAGACTGGAATTTTTGCTCTTGCTTGGCTGTTCAGCATCTTCCTGAGTAGGCAATCCATCTCTGCATTTCAAGTTTGAGGTCTGATCCTTTCAATAAACAAACAGGTCATTAGTTTAAAATACTTTTGAATAAATTCTTAACTTGTCCTTAATGAACAAGTTATACATTGTCTGAATTTAAACAATGCATTGATTTAATCTAATTTGTCATTAGATCAGTTAGTTGAACTTAGTTCTCTAAAAGTCAGTAACATTTCATTAAATCATCAATTATTGTATCTATTGACTAAGTGCAACTAAATGAATCTTAATTTACCTAGCATTAACCAAACATTAGAGTATTATTTTAGCAGGCATTTGTTACTGCTTACGATTTAAATGAGAAGACAATCCTGAATGTAAGTTGATATTCAAAAAATATACCAAAATTAATTATTTGACAGAATAACAAAAGAAGCATAAAAAGATTGAAATCCCATGTAATATTGTTTCTTTATCTTGTCAACCTAAGATTGCTGGCTTCAGCTAAAACAGATTCCCAAGCAATTTTCCTCCAGTAAATATATCTAGGTGACACTTGCATATCTGTCCATAAATGCATGCTTGTTTACACTCGCTGATCTGAGGTACTATTCCAAAAACTAGAAGGGCCAAAGAAAAAAAATTGATATTAGTAACCATTAATACTTATAGAATTCAATGAAGATATTCAAGATAACCTCTGCCTTTTAGAATCAATCATCTTCAACAGCAAAAATATTGCCACTAATAAGATCATCTGAGCCACAACCCACTTGATCTCTGGAAGAACAGCACTGTCTCCTGGTTAGACTGCATATGGCGGGCAGTCTCCCTGGAGAAGATGCTAAAAGTAACAAAAGATCAAGTTGTAAAGGACTTCATAGCAACCCTGAATTAGTCTCAAACGTGTATTGTTAACCATTGCAACTACTGCAAAGTAGGAATTAATTGCTTGGACTGGCTAGCAAACAGTTGCATTTTGTGGCAGCTAAATTGTCTTCCAAGACAGCTCTGCATGAAGTAAATTGCAATAATCTATTCTAGAGAGGATAAGATTATGAGTTATGTTCTTGAATGCCTGTAGGTCCAAGAAGGTGTTCAACTGAGAAATAATCACAACTGGCCAAAGGCCACATCCTCTATCTACTACTCTAGCAGTAGCTATGAATCCAAGAGAATCTCCACATTGCACACTGCAAATTTGCTTCAGAGGAAATCCAACCCTGTTCAGAACAAAATATATTACTAGAATATTGAAGAAACTGCAACATACAATAGCAACTTCATCCTGCTGGAATTCAATCAGCATCTGAACAAGTTGGAGAACTGAAAACAGAAAATTCTTGAACACATAGAATTGTAAGATTCCACATTTACATTTTTACAATAAAAAATATAGGGCACACATATAAAATTTGTGATTTGCAGCTTGAAGTGCTACATCAAAAAAACAGGTGAGGTATTCACAATAAACTCTTTACGAGCCAGCAGTGTGAACCAGATACTCAAACTGGGAATTAGTTACTCTCAATTTTGGGATGCATCAAAAGCACTGAATGAAACATATGGGACGATCTCATTCTCTTCTATTCTGCACTGCATACTTGAAGTACTGTGTAAAATTCTGGACACCACATTTCCAGAAGGAAATTAACAATTAAAAATAGGTCTAGAACAGCGGTCGCCAACCGATTTTGGTGGGCTATAGAGAAATCTCATCCCCAGAGCACCACCCCAAAGCAATTAATCCAGGCTGCGCAGAAACACAAGGCTGTGCTGCCCACATGGCCCGCGAGAACTCTCCCCACCCACTCACTCCTTACCCGGTAAACTTGCCTGTTAAATTGCTATTTTTCCTTTTTCCAACCATCATCTGTTCTGCTGTGCCGAGAGATTTAGATTAGCTAGGAAGCAGGAAATGGTTGGATTTCTTGCTTTCTAGTGAGTCTTTAGATCTTCAGCTCAGCACAGCCGAACCTCCCTTAGGACTGAAGGTTTGCTTGCAAGCAAATTCAGTGCAGACTCACGGCAAGCAAATTTGAGAGACTGAGCTAGCCGATGGCAGATAGATAGATCACTGAATGATTCTGTGAGCAACTCAATCTGCCTGCTTTGCCTGATTTGGGGTAAAAGTTGCTCTTTTTTATAAAAAATTCAATATTTACATGCATGGTGCGTTATGAGTTAATTTTGTGAGTTAGCTTGCTAGCAAATTTAATGACAGATTGAGCTAGCCAATGGCAGATAGATAGATCTCTGAATGAATCTGTGATTCTGTGAGCAACTCAATCTGCCTGCCTGCTTTGCCTGCTTTTGGGTAAAAGCTGCTCTTTTTTTATAAAAAAATCAATATTTATATAAATAACTATAATATTTACATACAAGCCATGCCCAGCCAGTCACATGACCACCAAGCCACACCCACAAATTAGCCCAGGCCCACAGAACCAGTTAGTGGTCCCTGGGATCTAAAATTATGAGTTTGGCGACCCCTGGTCTAGAAGATGACAACTATGATACAAAGACATGTCCTACGAAGACTGGCCAAAGGAATTTGGGATTTTTAGTCTGACAAAAAGACAACTGAGAAGACATATAAAAAGAGGGCCCTTGGTAAGGAACTATATATATTTCCTTGCCCAGAATCTAGAACCAGGAATCTTGGTAGCTGCAGCTACCAAGATTTTATTTAAATGAGAAAAATGTATTTCTTGAAGTGTTTCCTTATATTTAAATGAAACAGTGGAACAATCTGTCTCTGAAGTCTGCAATTTCTTTATCACTTGATATTTTAAGAAGAATCCGGAAAACCAACTTTGGAGAATGGTTTATCTGGTTGTAAACTATAGAGGATTAAAGAATATATTTTCGGTAATTTCCAGCTGCATAATTTTATGATGCTAAGTTTTGCTCCATTCAGATAATAGATATATTCAGTAAAGACTTCCATCCCATAATTTGTCTTTACATTGCAATTTCATTTTCAAAACAGACATTCTTATTCATCAATGTTGAGGGGGGGGGGGGAGCCTTTACCTGGCCCTAAGTTATCTTCTCTTAAATTTGTCTAAATACTACAGGTTGCAAAACAGGATATGATGGCTTAGTGCAGGTGCTCCAAGTTAATAATCACAGTCCATCTGCTTTTCCCTGCCAGCCTGTGCCTTATGATTTTCTCCTTTCCTCTCAATCCTTCCCCATTTCTTATTAATGATAAATCCCTTGCAGGGTAATGGTATGAGTTTTGTGCTCTCTATACTTATCATGGTCCAAAGTATGAAAAACACTGTCAGATTAGGGCCAAAGTGACACATGTCTAAGGCTACCTACGAGCTTGTTGGGTAATTCTAGGCCTAACCTTCTCCACAGCATTAGAGTTCCAGGGAAAAGTGCTCTGTTAAATTTAAGTGGTCCTGCTAGATTTGACCTTAAATATTTTTATAACTTTTATATTTTTAACACCAATGTTTAATGTTATTTTAATGTTCAAAATTCTAATATTATCTAAATTGTAATTTTTACTATTGGAAGTCACCCTGAGCATTGTGAGATAATAGAGAAAAGTATACATCTAAATAAATTATGGTTGTATAAAACGTATCACATCATAACACATATGCACAGAAGCAAAGCATTTCTTCTCTGAAGCATTAAAAAGGGTGTTGGTACTTACCTGACACGCCCGTTCTCTTTGAGCTGTGAAGAACATCCAGTAGTGGGATGTGCTTCAGTCTCTGCATGTCTAGGCTGGGCTTAATTTATGGAACGCTCCTCCTCCTCCACGGGACTCCTCCCCAGCGTTCCCCAGTTTTGGCGAAGACGAGAGAAATAACTGCCCTCGTCCTCAATGCCCTAACAATTCATTGGCCAAAACAGGACCCCACCAGATGGAAAAAAGGGTGGGGCTGGATGCTCTTCACAGCTCAAAGAGAACGGGCGTGTCAGGTAAGTACCAACGCCCTTTCTCCCATGAGCTGTTCAGAGCATCCAGTAGTGGGACATACCAAAGCTTGGCCTGTCCTATGGGAGGGACTCCGTCTGGCCTGGAATCTCCTCCTGGTCCCTGTGGACCCGTTGAAGAACTCTTCTGCCAAAGGAGGCCTCAGCGGATGCAAACACATCTATTTTATAATGCCTAATGAATGGCGATGGAGAGGCCCAGGTTGCGGCCTGACAAATTTCAGTTATTGGTGCCTGTATGGCCCACGCTGCCGATGTTGCGGTACTCCTTGTTGAATGAGCTGTTATGCCCTTGGGCACCTGCAGGGATTGAGTCTGATACGTTTTCGCTATCGCGGCCCGTAGCCAATGGCCTATTGTAGGTGAGACCTTGCATCCATGAGTGTTGGGCTGAAAAGACACAAATAAGGCTTCCGTTTTTCTGAAAGCCGCTGTGTGGTTGATATATATTTGCAATGCTTGCCTCACATCAAGCCTATGCCATTGTAGTTCCAACCCTTGGGATGGTCTGGGAAAAAAATTAGGAAGTATCAGCTCTTGTGCCCTACGAAAAACCGAGTTAATTTTGGGTATAAATGTAGGATCAGGACGAAGGACCACCCGGTCAGAATGGAAAACACAAAGATCTTGTCTGATAGACAAAGCTGCAATCTCCGAAATACGACGAACAGAAGTGATCGCTATAAGGAAAACTACTTTATACGTCAGAAATTGGAGACTTGATGATTTCAAGGGTTCGAAAGGGCCCTTAGTGAGTGCGACGAGGACCATTTTAAGGTCCCAGGTGGGATAACGGTGTACTTCTGGAGGGCGTAAATTTGTGGCTCCTTGAAGGAAACTCCATATGCATGGATGATGGGAAAGAGATAGTAGACCTTCACAAGTGAGAACTGACGCCAAGGCTGCCACCTGTCTTTTCAACGTATTAGGTGATAATCCCTTGTCAAGTCCCTCTTGCAAGAACTCTAGGATTTGAGCCACAGATGAGAGATGGGATCAATTTGAGACTCGGTACACCATTTGCAGAAACTGGACCACATGGCATTGTAAATGCGAGTTGTTGAGGGGCGTTTGGCAGCTTGGATAGTGGTGATAACGCTGTTGGA